CTATGTTATTACAGTGTCTCAATAGGTTAAGGCTGTGATATATCCATGTTAAGATGTTACACTTACCTCTGGGTCTTGATATGCTGCAGCTCTGCTAACCTCTCCAACTATCTTTCCACCCTGAGGCTGATGGGGAACCTGAGTCGGGCTTTCAGTTAAACCTGTTTGACCAGTAGGACCTTCCCTGAGTTTCACCTCATCCACAGATGGATTCAGAGACACCGCCTAAATGCATACATGGATACATCAAGCTACTAACATAAGTGTTATATTTTTGTTAACGATCAGCAATCATAACACTAGCAGAGGAAGAAAAATTATTTTGTTAATATATTAATGTGAATTAAATCAGGAAACCAGTCAAAGTTTTAAAGCAGCAAAAACAATGACACATATTAAAAAACATCTTGTAGCCAGTTGTAGACCTCGTTTCAACTCTGTGGTTCAACTTCGGTAGGTGCAGGCTCCTATCTTTATTTTTTGGCGAACAGACTGCCAGCACACTCTGACAGGTGTTTTCAGTTATGAGCGTTATACTCTCCTCTGCATAAGCATGCAACCCTCTGGTTCATTTTGCTGCACCTGTTCCAGGGGGAAAACTTGATGGTTTATGTTGCTATTGGCTCATTTCAGTATATGGAGTTTAGTGAGTTCAGCAAACTCCCAACTGCTTCACTCGAAGTCCATGTGAGAAGAGCATAAACATTCAGGTAATGTATTAAATGTGCTGCTTTTAGGTAATTTGGAACTTCTATATGTTCGTGCTGTAATTACAGTTTTGCTCTTGTGTAAGTTTATAGACTAAAGCCCAACAAACAAACAAACAAAGCCAACAAACACGTACTGTAGAAAAATCTGGTAATTTACTGACTAAGAAAAAGGATCCAAAGAAAAGCTCTGGCAGATAAAGTTCCACATGTAACAGAAATTCTGAGCACTGCTTCCTGGTCAAGCTTCTTGTAAATCTGAAAGCAGCACCTAAGGGAGTCTTTGACAGGACCTCCAGAAGCCACCACTGCACGCGCACCTGTTAGGGAGAGTTAGCATGTGTTTCCGGTTGCGCTACCTTTTCGATGTGATCCACGCGATCAATGAGCTTGTTGGTAACGGAGTGCAGCTTCAGTAGATCCATGCCATAGAAGGATCCCTCCAGCAGCTCAAGTATGGTGGACAGCTAAAACAACAACAACAATAAATGATCAAGTGAATTCCGTCAAAGTTAAAGAATTCAAAACATAGAATGCATGAAGTAGGTACATCCCCAGTCCATTCAAACTCTGGTTGTGGTAAGATATTGATTATCCTTTTCGGAAATTGATAAATATCAGACATCCATGCCACCAGGGGTCCAGGTCCAT